TATATACGCAAAACCAAAAGCCAATATCATTCTCAATGGAGAAAGACTAAAAGATTTTCTTTGTGATCAGGGATCAAATAAGAATGCCCACTGTTGACACTCCTATTCAATACTGTACTGGAAGTGTTTGCTAGGGCAATACAACAAGAGACGAAATTAAAAAGGCATCCAGATCAGCAAAAAGATGGATAAATAATCGCTATGTGCAGATGATATGATGGTGTACACAGAAAACTCCAAGGACTCAACAACAACAAAACACCAAACAAACAAACATCCAACTTAGAGCTAGTAGGTCAATTTAGTAGAGTGGCAGGATATAAAAGCAACATCCAAAAATCAGTGGGATTTCTCTACAGTGACAAAGAAAACTCAGAGAAGGAAACCAAGAAAGCAATACCATTTATAATAGGCAACCACAAATTAAGATACTTAGAAGTGAACCTAACTAGATTTATATAAGACCTATACAAAGAAAACAACAGAACATTTTTGTGAGGCAAAATAAAAGACCTAAATAAATGCAATAATATTCCCTGTTCATGGATAGGAAAACTCAATATTGTGAAAATGACAATCCTACCAAAAGCAATCTACATGTTCAATGCAATCCCAATCCAGATACCAAATTCCTTTTTCAAGGAGATCGAAAGGGAAATTGTTAAGTTTATTTGGAGAAAAAGAGACCTCAAATAAGCAAAACACTTCTGAGAAACAAAAATTAACAACATGGTACTGGTAATGACAGGCATGTAGACCAATGGAACAGAATTGAGAACCCAGAAATGGACCCATCTATTTATGGTCAACTATATTTGACAAGGAAATAAAACCTATCAAATGGGAAATGACAACCTCTTCAAAAAATGGTGCTGGCAAAACAGGACTGCTACCTGAAGACAGCTGAAACAGGATCCACCTATCACACCATACACAAAAATCAACTCAAGGTGGATTCGAGACCTTGGAAAAAAAGAGCCCAGAACCATAAAGTTCCTAAGAGACAAACTGGGATCAAGCTTAAGAGACCTAGTCTACAGTATAAAGATACTGCCAATACAACCAGAAATGCACAATTTGAAGATTAAATCCCTATGCTCATCAAAAACTTTTTCCAACAAGGTGAAAAGAAAACCTACTGGCTGGGAACAAACATTTTTTTTAAAAAAACCATCTCAGACAAGGGTCTCATAACAAATGTGTTCAGAATCTTACAGGACCTCCACAAGAAAAAGACTGATAATCCAATTACCAAATGGGCAAGAGACATGGAAAGATTTTTCGTAGAGGAGGACATTTGGATGGCAAATGGACTCATGAAGAAATGCTCACTGGCAATGAGATGCAAATCAAAACCACAGTGAGATACCATCTTACTCCAGTAACAGTGGCAAAGTTTAATAGGACAGCAAGTAACAAATCTTGGAAAGGATGTGGTGAGTTTAGAATTCTTGTTGGTGGAATTGTAAAATGGTACAAAGGCAGTTTGGTGCTTCCTCAGAAAGCTGAACATAGAAATTACATATGACCCAGCTATTCTACTGCTTGGAATATACTCTCAGAAAATGAGAACTGAGGCGCAAACATAGACTTGTACACCAATGTTCATTGAAGTGTTATTCATCATCACAAGAACATGGAAACAGCCCAAATGTCCAAGCACAATGGGATGGATAGAGAAATTACGGTACATTCATACAATGGAATACTATGCAGCATACATGAGCAATGATTTTGTAAATTACTATCTAGCATAGGAGGGACTGGAGAGTATTATGCTGAGTGAACTAATTCAATCTCATAAAGACAAATACTGTATAAGACCATTATTGTAGAATGAGCAGGAGGATCCAAGAAAGGGGAGGGGCTTAATGATAGGGTTGCACAATTTGATGGGTGGAAGGAGAGGTGGCCAAAGGAAAGAGGAAAGATCCGGTGTGAAAAATAATGTATACAAACTTTGCAAGTAAACCAGTATAAAATAAAAATAAAATAAAACAATCTGTGGTATGCAGATGAACCAAACTTATTTGCTGAAAGTGAGGAGTTGTTGTTGTTGTTATGTGCCATCCAGTAGCTTGTGACTCATAGCGACCCTATGTACAACAGCCCTAAACTCTGCTCTGTCCTGTGCCAATTGCACTGTCTCTGACACACCCATCCCAATTACCCCAGTCACTGAATCAATCCACCTCATAGAGGGCCTTCCCCTCCTGTGCTGTCCCTCCACCATACCAAGCATGATGTCTCTCTCCAAGAACCGGTCTCTCCTTACAACATGTCCAAAGTATGTTAGACAAAGCCTCAGAAACCTTGCCTCCAGGGAGCTGCCCAGTTTAACCCTTTCCAGGATGAATCTGTTTGTTTTTCTAGCAGTCCATGGGTACCCTCAATACTGTTTTCCAGAACCACAGCTCAAAGGCATCAATTCTCCTCTCCTTCTTAGTCACTTGTCAGAGGCCTGGCTAACTTGCAAGGAAAGATTAGCACTACATTTGTAAAACCAGCAGAACTGATTCCATCTTGGCTAGAACCATCTCAAACGGAAACCTAAATGAGATAATGTGATTACCCCTGCAGGTGTGTTTCAGAAACCTAAATGAGATAATGTGATTACCCCTGCAGGTGTGTTTTTAAAAAACCTATATAAGTCTTTTTAGAGATAATAAAGGGAGGGATTTGTGATCAATGAGGAGGCTCTCTGCATCTTCATTTAATCCTCTTCCCTTCTCTTGGCAGAACTGTTTCTATATATCGGGACAGGACCTCGATAGTCACTGTCCAACTCCCTGATGCATGACAAGTGATAGCAAAGACCATGGCCTGTAGCAGACACACCTCAGTCTCCAGAGAGACACCACTGCTCTTCAGTACTTTGGAGAGGTCCCTAACAGCAGACTTTCCCATAGAAATACGCCTTTTAATTTCCTGGCTACTGATGCTGAGAATGTTGACTGTGGATCCAAGCAAAGTAAAGCTGGGAACAATCTCAATCTCTTCACCATCCATCCTGATGCTGCCAATTGGTCCAGTGGTGAGAATCTTTGTCTTCTTGATATTGAATTTACTGCAGAAGATAAAATAGAATAACTCCTTCAATATGCATGACATCTCAACATCAAGCAAACAAAAATCCTCATCACTAGGCCAACAGGCAACATCATGATGGAAAAAAGATTGAAATTGTCAATCATTTCAACTTGCATGGGGAGCTCTGGTGGCCTAGTGGCAAGAAGCTGAACTGCAATCTCAAATGCATGCCGTTTGAGGCCACCAACTACTCTGTGGGAGGATGGACAATCTCCTCCTGTGTGATTAACTGCCTCTGAAAATCCGCCAGAGGGTCAGATATGGGTCGGTTCTGACTCTACAACACACAACAACAACAAAGCAAATAGAATAAATTATATCAACTTACATGGATCCAGTCAACAGTCAGGAGATCAGGACACGAATAGCATTGGGAAAGTCGGCTGTGTGGCATATCTCCAAAGTCAAGAAGAGTGATGATGTCAGTTTAAAGGCTAAATGCATCAGATTGAAGCCACAGTCTTTTCAATCACCTGCTATGCATCTGAGAGCAGGACAGTGAATAAGGATGTCAAGAGAAGGAGGCATTTGTGTTGCGTTGCTGGAGAAGAGTGCTGAATATCTCTTGGCCTGCCAAAAGAACAAAACAGGTACATCTTAGGGCAAGTACAACTGGAATGCTTCTTGGAGGCAAGGATGATAAAGCCTCATCTCACATACTTTGGGATATTAACAGGAAAGGTCATTCCTTGGAGAGGGACATTATGCTTGGAAAAGTGGGCAAAGCAGAGGAAGACCCTCAACGAAATGGATAGTGTCTGCAGCAATGGGCTCAAAAGTGTCGAGGATGGTAAGGATGGTGTAGGATAGCAGACAGTTCAAGATACGTTGTTCATAGGGTCGCTGTGAGTCGGGCTCCGTTCTAAGGCACTTAACAAAACCACATACAATTTTTAAAAAAAAGTCTTTTTTATTATGCAGTCAAATTTTCCACATTTGGGTAAACAGAAGGAGTCAGCACACCCAGAGTGCAATGGATGAGCCTCACTCTGGGAAAACCACCTTCCTGACCGTGCTATTCCCCCCCCCCCCGCAAACAACTTTTAAGCATAGAAGCCATAGTATTAGAAGGACTGAACCACAGCATTTGGTACAGCATCCAGGACACGGAATTGCACAGTATATAAAGGATATGGAGAGGTAGGGTTGCAGATAGAGCCAGTGGTGGTTACTTGTCCTGGAAACAGTTGAGTGGAAGAAGTGGCAGTGATTTGTAAAAGATAAAAGGCACTTGAATTTGGGATCCAGGCTACTTATCTCAGGCCTATTTGGAAAGAGTAGAAATGGGCCGGCTTTAGAGAATCCAAAAGACATAGTATCTTGGTAAATCCGGTGGAGATGACTAGGACTCATAAGCAATCCTGTGAACGACAGACTGGATGGAACCTTGCCCTCTATTATGTGCTAGAGTCGAAACAGGACAAAGTATGGTTCTCAGCGCATGCCTGTGAGATGCTCTTATCAGTTCCCTCCAACGAAACAAAAGGCTGAACTCCCTGAAACCACCAGGCAAAAAGGATCCTCTGGACTAGCCTTGGGACAGCCTTCCAAATTCCCTCAGGCTACCGTGTTGTCATCAGTGATACAATTTGCAACATAAGCGCAGGGACTTTGCACGCGCACAGCTGATTACGCATGCATGAATCATCTGAAGTTGCTTCCCGCGGCCCAATCGCAAGGCGGCTTGGACTGCGACGCCTGCGCAGTCAGCCTCAGGTCACAGCTCTCACTGGCCTCCTGCAGCACTCAGCCCGTAACTGTCCAATGCTCTAGCGGAGTCGGGAGGCGGAGTCTGCGTGGAGTGCGTGGAACGGGAGGGACACGGGCGGGCGCCCACGGTGTGTGACCCGGCGGTCCGGTGAGAGAGAAGAAAAGGAAGGTGCAGGGGGTCCCGCGGAGCTATTGGCAAAATGTTCCGGTGTGGCAGCCTGGCGGCGGGTGCCTGGAAGCATAAGCTGGCCCCGTTGGTGCGGACCGTGTGCGTCAGAAGCCCGAAGCAGAAGAACCGGCCCCCAGGTGACTTACCGATCGCAGGCACCCCCACCTCCGGCTCTCCCAAGGCCTGGGAGACCTGGGTTCTGTTGCCTCACAGCCCTTTCCCTCTTTGCCCTCTCCAAAAACTTAACAAGCCTACAGTTGCATGAATCTCGAATTGAGATCCAAAACTGTTGGTTTCCAGAAAGCAGAGGCGTCTGCTCGGCCATGCCGAGCTGACCTTGTTGGGAATTGCATCCCAGCAGTCAGCGTGAGGATGGATGGCTTATGATCTGGCAGCATGGAGGGTCGCTGAGAGTCGGAATCATCCCGATGGCACCTAGGAACAATCGTGCGAGGGGCCTCTTCCTGGGAGGGTTTACTGTTCAAAGGTGACAATGGCCATCGCGTCATGCCATCTCTTCCCTCTTAGAGCAATGAGGTTAAGTAACTATAGTGTATCGACTGTGGGGTTTTACACTGGACCTTTAAGGTCCATGCCTAGGTTTTCTTCTGTAATAAGGATCTTGTCTGCTCTACTTACACACCTCCCAGGAGATCCGTAGGTGTGATTGACCTTTGACACAGAAGTAGTGCATTGCAAGTAAAGGGCCATCAGGCATTGGTGCACCAGGCCCCAAAAGTGTTGGCCCAGCATCGATCGATTTAAAATGTCTGGTTAATGCCACTCTTGGTGGTCTTTAATACTTCAGAGGTTTCATATTTTCCCTCCATGAAGTTGTATCATTACATTTTAGTTCTAGAAGGAGTTTGCTCATACTCACTCATTTTATAACTAATAAAAACCAAGGCACAGAGCTGAAATGTCTTGCCCAAAGACGTAGAACTAATTAATAGGCAGAGCTGAGGTTAGTTTGCCAGTCTCTAGGCCTTTAATCCCCATGCCACAGGTTCACACTGCTAACTAACGTTTGACCTCAAAGATTAACAGTAATTTTCATTACCCTTCTAGTATTTAGTCCATTGTACATCAGATAGCCTTGAATTTATCTGAGACTAGCCTGAGCCTGCTTATGTTAACTTGCACAGCTTTCTGGTGTCCCGAATTACCCACATTCCCCGCTCCCCAAAATTACTTTTTGTACTTGTTGATAACAAAGTAAAACATATACACCAGTTCAGCATTTTCTGCATGTACAATTGAGTGACATCGATCCTATTTTTCCACTCGTTCAGCTATTCTCATGCTCCTCTTCTGAATTGTTGCTCTCCAGTTAGCAGAAGCACACTGCCCCCTAAGTTTCCTAGCTGATCTTTCAAGTGGCTGCTGTCATTTCCATCCCACATGGATAGTTCTTTATTAAAGAACATACTGCTCAAAGGTGAGCTTTTGTACTGGTTAAGTTAAACTGGTTTGGTTTTAAGAAGACTTCCGAGGATATTTGTGGTTTAAGGTTTAAAGATGATCTCAGCGAAACGGTTTGGATCAGGATTCTTCTATGGAACCTTTAATCAACGTGCTCAGTAATGGTAGTTGGGCACGATCCAGTACTTTTAGTCTCTCAGCAAAGGAGGCAATTGTTCACTGACACACACTCCATTACCTTTTATTCCTGACTCTCCTCTTTCCTCTGTTGCTCCAGGCAGATAGATAGAGACCTTTGCTCTGGTAAGCTTATAAGACCCCAGGCAGTAAAGATCTCAGAGGGAGAACAGAAACACTAATCATGTTATTAAGTCAGTCAACTGGGATGTCCCATGAAATCAGCATCTTAAACCTCCAGACTAAGTCCCAGGAAGTGTTTGGTTATACATAAGCAACTACTCTTCCCCTAACCTGTGTCCCCCTCCCCCAGTTTAACTTTTTATAGTTCAACTTATTGACAGCAATTACAGTGAAGGAGCTAAAGAAACAGATCACCATGCCTTTCTCCCATGCCACCTCTGAGTGGTTTCAATTTGCCAACTTTTCCGTTAGTAGTCAAGCGCTTAAACCTGTTGGTCCATCTGGGGACTCCATACGCTATTAGAAAATAACGGGCTCTAATGGTTTTACCTTGTGCGAAGGCAGTCTACTGTGAGTTATATTCTGACTTCCTGACATGATTTGTCAGTCTCTTTGTGCAAACTTTATCATTTGGCCAATCTGGTAATATGATAATAATGTGCTTTTTAAAATGAGCAGGATAGGGCCCCAATTATTTTAGGAATTAACCTTGTGTGTGGCTTGATTACAGATTGCTTTTAATCTGACTTGGTTTTCACATAATAGTATTTACCATGTCGATGAGATAACGTGACACAAGGACTGCAGTGATGGACTTGAGGATGGCGATGGACTTGAGGGTGGCGCAGGATAGGGCAAGGTTTGATCTGTTGCTCTTATGGTCAGCCTCTACCATGGATTTTTGCTCAGGTTTATACAGTGTTTTTCCCCTCTGAGAATGAAAATTAATTGGAAGATCAAAAAGCATTGCTTTCTCTTTTTCCTGTTCCCCTTATACTTTTTTACTTTCCAACATTTTCTTTTTAAAATTTCAAAATCTACCAAAAAGTTTAAAGACTAATACAGTAAACACTTATGAGGTAGAATTTCTCCCCCTCCCGTGCACACATCCCTAAATTCACCAGTTATTAACTTGCTGGGGGTTTTTTAATCTCTTTTTTTTCTTTGTTGCTGTTGTTAGGTGCCTTTAAGTCAAACATGACTCACAGTGACCCTATGAACAGAAGATCTGAACCCTGTTCTGTCCTGCTCATCCTCACACTTCCTGACACACAAGAGCCCATTGCAGCAGTCACGGTGTCAGTACACCTGGTCGAGGGTCTTCCTCTCCTTGCCAACCCTCCACCCTTCCCCTCTTTTTCTCTTTAGCTAGCTATATAATTTTTTAAAATTTTTATTTTATTTTTTATTATTTTTATGTGTATATACCATCAAATCAGATCTGACTGGTACAGGAGGAGATTGTCCCTCCTTTTCCAGCAGAGCATCTAGTGAATTTGAATGTTGTTAAGTGCCATCGAGTCATGGGCGACTCATAGCAACCCTGTGAATGAAAGTCCTCAACACTTGTGTGACTTTCATCCTTCCTCCAGGTTCACAGGGTTCCAGAGGCAAGCTATTACGGAAGTGGATGCCACTCCTGCTTCCAAGCTTGTTTTAATCGGGGAGTGCCACCAAACACTGTCCGCCATGGGTAACTGTTAATGCATTTGACACATCAGTATCACTGTGTTCAGCTTCACAGCGACCACAAGTTACCCCTGTATGGCAAGTGGACACACCAGGGCTATACCACGTAGAAGAATGTTTGAACAAAAACAATGAAAAACAGGCCTATAGCTAGCTATATTTTTAGACATTTGTCATCAGGTTGATTCCTACTCATGGTGACTCCAGTGAATGTTGGACTAGAGATCACCAGGCCTATCTTCTGAGACATTTCTGTGTGGATGCAAACCTACAATCTTTGAGTTGGTAGTTGACTGCATTAACCATTTGTACCACCCAGGGGTACCACCGATACATATTTCAGTACATAGAGAACAGAGAGCTCAGGTGGCCTGGTGGTAAGAAGTTACACTACCAATAAATCCAAAGGCAGGTGGTTCAATTCTGCTAATTGCTCCATGGGAGAAATATGGACACTGCTCTTCCATGTAGTTGACAGCCTCTGAAAACCCGCTGTGAGTCAGTTCCGACTCAGTGGCACACCACAACAATAACAACTATGAGATCAGTGGTTTGAATCTATCAGCTGCTTCCTGGGAGAAAGATAGACTCTCTCTTCCTGTTAATATTTACAGCCTTGGGAACTGGATGGAAGGTTGCTGTGAGTCAGAATCAATGCCCTGGCAGTGAGTTTTGAGTAAGTTCTAAAGAGAGAGGAAGAATACCAAACGGCTTGAAATGGTACAAATATCTTAATGTCCCATCTGCCAATATTTTAGGTTGGGCCTCCTAAGAACAGGTAATGTAACATAAACACAATAAATGCCATTACCACTCAAATTTAGTACTGTTAGAATAATGTGATCCGATAAACCCCTCCGCTTTCCTACTTTGCCAAGATGTTACGAAGCTCTTAATCTTTCTTGCAACCCTCTCATACACATGTATCTTCCTTGTTAGGTTCAGATCAGTTACATAGCTTGCTTTTTGCCTTAACAATTATTTGTAATCAGGGATGCTTTGGGCAGAATATTAAA